ATACATGTAACGGTAAGGTAATTTCTTGTGTTAATTGCGATAGTTCAGAGCATTCATCAATAAATAAAAACTGTCCGGAATACGTCCGACAGGCACAAATCAGGCAATATATGTCATTGGATAACTTGTCTTTCTTTCAGGCAAGTGAACTGGTACCTAAGATTAATAAAAATAACAAATTCGCAACTAAACAAACTGAATTCCCCCCTCTTCCGACCAACAATAGACAAATCCCCAATTTTACTCCAATAAATCAAAACAGACAGATTTTCCAGGAAACTAAGAGGAAACAAATGATGGAAAATAATCCAACCTACAGCAGTAGAATTTCAGTTGCGAAAAAAAGGAAACCAACCGTTACCCCAAGGAAAGGATATGATATCGAAGCAAACAAGCAATGCCTGTTCCCCCAATCAACAAGATTTAGTGGAGGGCCACTACAAAATCTCTCTGGAAATGTCAGTGCGAGTGTTCCTGAATCTTCGGTGAGGAACCTTTCCCCCTCAGTGACCGAAGATTTTATGAGAAATTCTTTAGTTAACATTATAGGTAACCTGAAGGTAACAGACCTTCAACTAGCGCATAATTACCTGAAAGAGATAGCAAATCCCTCCATATATATGGAGGAAGATGAGTTTTAATGCTCTTAAATCTCATTTATGAAAATACTACAATGGAATATCAGAAGCTTATTCTCAAATATAGATAACCTAAAAATATTAATACATGAGCATAAATTTGAAATAATTACACTGAACGAAACTTGGTTAAGGAAGGAATATTAATTTAAGCTGAATCAGTACAATGTAATGAGAGATGACAGACATGATGGCAAGGGTGGAATAGTTATGTTGATTAAAAATATTATTGAATATACAGAACACGATTTAACATCTTATAACTTCCCAGATAAAGTACAGATACAGGCAATCAAACTAAATAAATCAAACTTATCTATTATTAACATATATATATACCACCTCTGGTAGCAGTACCCTCAGATCTACTGAAAAGTATTATCCAATCTATACCGCACCCCAAGGTGATGGTGGGAGACCTGAATGGACAGCATCCTCTCTGGGGCAGCGGGATCAGAAATGCAAATGGGTTGATAGTCTCTCAAATTATCGAGGAATCGTTCTTAGTTCTGTTTAACGATGGAACTCCAACTAGAATCACGACGCCTGGACAAAATAAATCAGCACCTGATATTTCTCTGGGATCCCCCATGCTGGCAACCAAAATCTCATGGAGTGTTATTGAAGATTGCGGGAATAGCGATCACTTCCCAATCATAGTTGAAATAGGAATGAACGTACATGAATTTCATATGGGGAGAAGACTAGGAAGAAATTTAAAAAGGGCAAATTGGGAATCCTACCATGATAAAATACAAAGGATGTGCCTGGATAATTCCCCTAAAACCTATCAAGAATTTGAAGAAATCCTGTTGGAAACAGTGGAGGAAGTAATTCCATATAAAAAACCACCAAAAGAAGGAGCTAAAAAGGTGACTCCATGGTGGGATGAAGAATGTGAGGAGCTCATCAGAGAGAGGAGAAGGGTGTTAAAGCCACTAAAAGAAAACTATTCAATGGAAAATTATATTAAAACTAAGGGAGTCATAGCCAAAACTAAACTCAAATTTAAAATTAAAAAAAAGGCTTCTTTTGAAAAATTTTGTGGAAAATTGAATCGTAACACTCCGGTTAAAGAAGTATGGAACACAATAAAAATATTCTCTAGTGGCAAAGGTGGGAAACCAAGAAACAAAGGACCATCAGAAGACATAGCATTAAAAATATTAGATAATCTTAATCAAATAAACATAGATCCAGATTTCGTTCTGGAAGTCTCTGAGAGAGATGATGAAAGGGAGATCACAATGACCGAATTGAACTTTGTCTTGAATGGAAAATCTGATTCGGCACCAGGAATGGATGGGATAACCTACTCTATGCTGAAATACCTCCCAAGGATTGAGAAATCTCTACTTGTAGAAATATTTAATAGGATCATGAAAAGTGGAAGAAGTCCGGAACAATAGAAAAACACACTTATTTGCACATTTTTGAAAGATAAAGGTGATGAGAGGGAAGCAAGCAATTATAGATCGATTGCACTGGAAGCCTGTGCTGGTAAACTTATGGAAGGCATTATCAAAAATAGATTGGAATGGATAATTGAAAAAAATCAAAAGTTTCCAGCTTCACAAATAGGATTTAGGAGGGGAAAAGGATGTATGGAATGTCTAGCCTATTTAACTCTTAACATTCAAAGGAATTTCCAGAGGAAATTTAAGTCATTGGTAGTATTCGTGGACATTAAAGCGGCTTATAATCATGTTAACATTTATCACCTGTATAAAACAATGGAAGACTTAGAGATCTCTCCAACTATAAAAAATTGGATTTTTGAGTATATGACTAATCGCAAAGTATTCATTAGAGACAGAGAGGGACTCTTGAGGGGTCCAAAAGAGATCTCAACTGGACTGGCTCAGGGTTCTCCCCTGAGCCCAATATTATTTAATATTTATACTAGAGGCCTGCATGATAAACTTCAGGGAAGGATCAAAATTGTTCAATATGCAGATGACTTCACACTGCTGATAGAGGGAAATGATGTAAATGAAATGATTAGGGAGGTGAATCTGGCAATGGCGGACATTTCAACAGAACTAAATTTCAGAATTTCGGCGAGAAAATCGGCTGCGATGTGGATAGAACCAAGAGCACACGCATTTCCAAACAGCCATGTTATTTATAGAGACGAAAGAATCCCATGGGTTAAAGAATATAAATACTTGGGGGTGATCATCTCAGATAATCTCAACTGGGCTAAGCAGATTGAAAGCATGTCAGTTAAGGCTGGAAGGGGTATTAATGTTATTAAGAATCTAACTAGAGTGTGGTAGGGGGGGAGACCCCAGATCTTTACTACAAATATACAAAGGAATAATCAGGACACACTTGGACTATGGGTCACAATTCATCAGTCCCACAACAAAGATAAATAAAGCTAAATTGGACATTGTTCAATTTCAGGCGGTAAGGGTGGTATTGGGCTGCATGCGTTCAACCCCAACGAATCTTCTGCTGGCTGAGTCTGGAGAAGAATCACTAGAATTGAGAAGAATATGGTTAGCAAAAAAATGTATTTTGAAAAACATCAAGTACAGGAATAATAAATAATTAACTTAATAAAGGAATTTAGATTAATGGACAGAAACAATGGATACTTTGCTAGGAGAGAGGCACCCTATTTGGTGCAAATGTATGGCGAGGCAGAGGAGCTCGAAGACAAAATTAAAAAGTACGATACCGGACCAGTCTTTGAATTTGAACTGATCAATCTGATCAGCGAGGTTCCTACAATAGAATTCAACAGTAATAAGAACGACATGGCCCTTATAGGAAAATTCTTGACAATTACGAGGGAAAAATTTAAAAAGTATACTCACTTTTATTCTGATGCCTCGGTTCTGAAGGAAACAAATGAGGCTGGTTTTGGAGTACACTGCCCCCAACTTAAACATAACTTTTCCTCGAGGCTCCCTAACTTCACCCAAATTTGCACAGCAGAAATCATAGGAATCCATAATGCCACCAGTGAGTGCCTTAAAAGGAATATTTGGAGAGCAGTTATTTTCACTGACTGATTAAGCGCAGTGAAGGCCATAAATGGTAGGCAACTGAAAAATCAAGATTACATTCGAATGGCCACCAAGCAACAATTAATAGAGGCGAATGAAGCTGGCTTAGACATCCGGCTTTGCTGGATTCCTGGACATGCAAACATAGAGGGAAATGTAATTGCCGACAAACTGGCAAATGTTGGGAGAACAATACTAAAGGTTCCGTATCCCATTCTGTTGGATGTCAAGGAGTATATTCCGGAATTCCGGAGGAAACATAAGCGAATTTGGAGGGAATATTGGAAGAACTCATCAGGAAATAAGGGCATTAAGTATAAACAGAATGTAGGATCATTTCCGGATGTACCTTGGTATAACGATCTGGAATACCTGGACAGAAGACATATAACCACTATCATCAGAATGAGAACGGGTCATTGTTCAACTCCCGCCCACCTTCATAGACTGGGGATAAAGGATTCTCCGGAATGTGAATGTGGGGAGGTGGGGTCATTGGAACACATCCTCTTTGAATGCCAAAATCAGCAACCTAACCTCTATGACATTTTCATCCAAAACGGGGTTCAAACCCCAATTTCAATTGACTCAGTGATATTTAATCCTAAGGTAAAAACAAACAAAATAATTTTGGAATTTCTTAAAGCAAATAAAATTCAATTGTAGAGACCTGAAGTTTCAAAATCTGTCTGTGTCAACTTCCCGTAGAATATGTGAATGTGTCTCCTATGTCTGTGATGTATTACTAACATTTGCGAACGAAAAGGATAGAAAGCTAGCTGGAAAGGGCGGTTTCGAGCCGGGCAACCCAAGACAGCACCAATAGATGTGGCTAGATACCTGAGGGGTGAAGCCAAAACAAAGCCAAAAAAAAATAAAAATAAATTTCTTTCTCTATTTGGCTAAATTTTGCATCACAATTTTCAAGTGCAAGAGAAGCCAAGAAAATTGGTTTTGTGAATCCTACCAACGCGCCAAAAATATTTGTTTAATAGGAGTCAGCCTACATTTACTCTGCTTATTAGAATCAAAATTTAACAAAACCAGAACCCAATGAATCTGATTTTTCTAATTTTTAATTTCCGAAAGGCGGAAATTGTTTGCTTGCATCTTGTTTGTACAACATCCAAACCAATTTACACCTAAAACATAAAATTTATTAAATAAAAAGTCTCCACCAGAAATAGTGTCGCCGGGGAGTTACTGCCAAAAATTCCAACTTCGTAATAAACCGCCTCTTTGGAGTCGAGCCAGACAAGGTATAAAAGTAGAGTTTTTGAAAACTACTGGAATAATATTGAAAACTTTGCACTTTGCGTTGATAAATATGGTTCTTTTTTTCCAGGTTGCAATCAAAATAATAGACAAATCGCAACTAGACGCCAGCAATCTCCAAAAAGTTTATAGAGAAGTAGACATAATGAAAAGACTGGATCATCCTCATATAATTAAACTTTATCAGGTAAGTCGTTTTAAGGTTAATTAATGTTTGTCTGAGGTAAAAAAATTCAATTGTGTGTGGTTTTTTTTAATGAAATTATCTATGAGTTTCTAAATTTTGTGCATAATGGTTATGTCAAACATTAGGTATACAGTTGAGAATAATTTAACTTTGGTAAAAAGTAATTTCAATTCCCATATATTTCAGTAAAACTCTCTTCCTTTATGGAATATTGCAAATTTCCGATTTTAGATGCTGCTGAAATGCAATTTTCATTTCTACTTATTTCAAAAGGACAATTTTTACGATGAATCGATAGAATGTTGGTCAAATATATCTATCATAAAATTCAAGTATTTTAAAAAAATGAAATTAGAATTCTTTCATACAGAAATAATACCTATTGATATTATGTAAATATGAATAATTTTAATGGTTTTCTTTCGCTATACATACTTTCAAAATTCTACTGAAATTCTCATGAAACAATTTCTTGTTATCCTAAAAGCAAGGCATATTATAAATATCCAGAATCTGTAATATTTGTTACACCTGCTGTAGGATATGACAAACCGGATGATTTCCATATCCAGACATTTCCAGGAGTGCTTTTCCAATATTATATACTCTAAAAGACGCAGTTTTTGATTTAAATATCGCTTAAATCCAAATTCCTTAAATTAAGAATATTTAAACCATTCTTGAGGGAACATTTTCCTTCAATTCATTATGCCGAAAGTTCCAATTAAAACCTCGGGCTAGTAAAACGTCGTTACCTTCAACTTGATCGTGACGCCAATGACGCCCGTGACGTCACGACGTCGCCAGGCAACCGGCGTCCTACCAGTGTTGCCGCACTTGTTGCCACTTCCAAAATCAGAAAAGAGTTAACAATGATTATTTGTTTCAGGTGATGGAAACCAAGAATATGATTTATTTAGTGTCAGAGTATGCGAGTCAGGGTGAAATTTTTGGTAAGTTAATTTGATCGTAAAATGAAATCATTTCCTGGCTCAAATTGCACTGCAAATGGCAGCTCGTTTCTCACAAACCTGGAAAACCTCCAAAGGGATTAAGCTGCGGAGAAATTCGTTGAACTTAACCAGGATTTGAAAGATTGAGAAAATTTTAGTTGTTGAAAAGGGGTCGTTTTTTAGAAAAAGGGTCGATTGTATAGTCCATTATTATGTAAAGGAGAATCCTGTAATGGATGTCTGGAAATTTTCTTTGAAAAGTGTGCGATAAAGTGGATATCAGGATGGGTTTTTAAGGGTCAGATTGTATGTGCCAGAACCTTTCAGAGAAAGTAAAGTGTATTCAATAAAAACACCCCTAACCAAAACTTAAAATCCCCCCAATAATTTGGAAACCTTTATCTAAGGAAGGTGCATAAAATCTCACTTTTTACTATATTACTATCAGTTTTCGACAAATCAATATAAGGTCTGTTCTCACAAGAGTGCAAACTGTCAATTAAACATCGCTTATATATGTTTTCAATGCCGTTGTTCCAAGATAAATCGATAATTTAGCTGGGCGATTGTTTCTGGCAAGTTGCAAACTGTCGGAGAACACTATCATATTTAAAATGGAAAAATAATAAAAGTGCAACAAATTAACATTCTTCACTGTATATAAATATTCTTTAATTACAACGGAATATTTATGTAATTTTGTTATCTTAACTTGTTAACATTTTCTTTTGGTTTTGTTTCAGATTACATTGCAAGATACGGACGTATGAGTGAAGAACAAGCTAGAATTAAGTTTTGGCAAATTTTGTCAGCTGTCGAATACTGCCATAATCGTAATATAGTACATCGAGACTTAAAGGTAAAGTAACTAAGATATTTACAGGGTTTAACCAAAGCATCAAATAATTTTAACTTTGAATGTCAACTAACAATAACAACAAAGAATTTTGAATTAAAATAAACAAATTTTACATAACAAAATTATCAAATATTTCTGGTCTTCGTTTTTCTCGTCTTTGTCTTCCTTCAGGTTCTACATATCCTTGTATCTCTGTAGAATTTCCGCTTTTCTTTCTCTTCTTAATGTTTAAATCCTTTTCCTTGATTTCAGGTAGTTTTACCAAAAAGTTTCTCCTTAGAAAAGCATCTTCGCTCTGGACCATAAATGAATTTGGTTCTCGACATTGTCTTGCAATGTTTCCATTACACTTCACATATTTTATGTAAACTAGGTCATTGTCATTCAATTTTGGTAAAAATTTTGACTTATGTCTACAGTCATAATTTTTCTTTGCTTCTTATTCTTGTTCTTCCTAACTTTTTCATGGTCAACCAGTTTTAGTTAAGGGTTTTTCTTTGTGGTAGGTAAAATTGCTCTAAGTTTTCTTCCAAATAGTAGTTCTGAAGGAGAGTTTCCACATGAAAGTGGTGTATTGCGGTATACTAATATTCCCAAATAAGGATCTTCACACTTTTTTAATAGGTTTTTCACTAGCTGTACAGCTCTCTCCTGAATCATTACTTTGTGGAAACCTGGGGCTACTTTTTATGTGGTTGAAGTTGTAAGTTTTTGCAAACTTCCTGAAACTGTAACTATCAAATTGTGGTCCACCGTCTGAGTACAATATCTCTGGAATTCCATAACGTCCAAAGATTTCTCTCAATTTTTCAATAATGTCCTCATTTTTCGTTTTCTGTAGTGTAATAACTTCTGGATATTTTGAGTACATATCCTGTATAACAAGGTACCGTAGGCTTGATTTCTGCACTAGAATAAATCTGCTGATACATGCTGAAATGGTTTGTTTGGCAATTTACGAAATGTCATAGGATCTATTACCTGATTCTGGTTCTTCAAACATTCATGGCAATTTTGTACTATTTCTATGATATAATTATTAATATTGGGCCACCATACAGTATGTTTTCCTCTAGATTTGCAACCATTTATGCCTTGATGTCCAATATGAATTTGATATAAAGTTTCTTTGTGATAGAACAAATATGTAATTTCATTACGATACTTGAAATATTTTTGACATGTCTCGCAGTTACTTGTGATGCTTTTTTTGGCAATCCCTGCATTAGATATTCACTAAGTTTTTAAAAATCTTCTTGCTTGCTGTGCCTTTCCAACCATTTGGTGTGTTAACTTCTTATAACATTTACATAGCATTCAATTTTTTCTTTCAATACATCTTTTCCATTATCTATTTGTTTCAATGGCTGTTTTGATAATGTATCTGGTACATACAATTTTTTCCAGCGACATATTCAATCTCTAATGTAAATCTAGTTAATCTAAGTCTTAATCGTTGCAATCTCACACTGAAATCATTTATATATTTCTTCTTTAGGATACCCAAAAGTGGTAAATGATCAGTTTGTATAGTAAATGATTTACCTATTAGGTACTTTTCACATACTCATACAATAGCATATGCTTCCTTTTCAATTTGGGCATAGCGTTGTTGTGTTTTACTTGAACTTTTTGAACAATAAATAACAGGAGCCCATCTCCCATCTGGTTGTAATTATTCTGAACAGCTACCAATTCCGAAAGAGCTCGAGTCCATTCTTATATCTGATTGTCCAAGTAATTTCACTTCCGAAATGCCTATCTGACATTTTGACTCGTTTAATTAAGGTAATTCCATTATCTCATAACACTTTAAGCACTCTTTTTAACCTTTTATCATGCTGTCCAAAATTTTCTCCAAAAACTGTGATATCATCAATGTGTACTAATACCCTTTGATGTTTATTGAAAAATCCATCCATTGTACTCTGAAAAATTTCTGGAGCTGAAGTAATTCCAAAAGGAGTTCTCTTGTAAATGTACCAAAAGGTGTTGAAAAAGCAGTGTAGTGCATACACAATCCAATTTTGAAAATACTTTTGCATTTCTTATTTGACTGTTGGTAAAATAAGTTTTTCTCTTAAAACAAATTTATTGAGTTCAGTGAATTCAGCACATATTCTAACTTGATTATTTGTTTTGAGGACACAAACCATTGGTGCACACCATGGAGTAGGATTATTGTAATCCACCTGCTCAATTATTTTCTGTAGCTCTCTTTTAACTTTATCCATCAATGGAAGTGCTACTCTTCTGAGTGCTGAAATTGAGTATGGCATACAGTTTTCTGTCATTTTTATTTTGTATTCATAGTCTTTTAATTTCCCAATTCTATTGAAAAGTTCTGGGAAATATTTAGTAATTTTTCTCAAAGTTTTTCAGTAGGTACTCATAGTTTTCTAGGCATTGATGCTATCAATCAGTTTTAGCAAGTTCAAATCCTGTATTGCAGGTCTGCCAAATAAATTTTCATGATATATATACCTTGATTTTATTATTTTATTTATTTATTTAGGTTACTCTTACAAACACAATTGGTATAGTAATTATAAGTAAGAGAGAGAGAGAGAGTGCTTTAAAATATCTTAAATCTAGTTACAAAAAACAACAATTAGCAATAAATAAAACTTTAAAACTTAAAAACTAATAACACTAACGAAAGAAAAAGTGTTACAAATTAGATATAAAATGTTGCTTTTATAGCCTTGAGATCAGTGTTCAATAGGTCTATGTTGCTCATTTCAATAAAGTCATTACACTCTTTAAGCATTCTGTTGATAACTGAACAATCCATCTTATCAACAGAAAATAACTTCTTACTGTTTATCCTCAGGTTAATTTTAGGTACTAATATTTTTATACTGTTGACTAGAAAGATATCTTTGTATTTGATGTGATTGATAATATAATATATAAACAATACAGCCTGATACTGGCGTCTTTTCTCTAAAGTTACCATATTGAAACTATCCAGCATACTCTTGTATGATACCATATATGGATAAGCATTATTTTTTCGGACATATAAGAATCTCAGAAATCTTTTCTGGACCTTTTCAATAAGATTTATATTGACCTCGGCTTGAGGTGACCAAATTACTGCAGCATATTCAAGATGTGGCCTGACCAATGCATTATACAATTTAACCAGAGAGCTGATATTTTTAAAAAACTTTGTGCTCCTAATCACAAAGCCTAGCATCTTATAGGCCTTATTAACTATAACATTATAATGATTATTGAAACTGAAATTAGCCTGCAAATGTACTCCCAGATCCTCAAACTCGCATTTTCTACTTAATTCGAAATCATTCAGTTGATAAGGGTGTTCATAAATACTGTGTTTACGAGTGAATGTTACTATTGCGCATTTATCCATATTTAAAGTCATTTTATTATTTTCAAACCATCTAGAAACAGAGCATAGATCCTCCTGCAACAGTAAACTGTCTTCTGGTTGGGCGATAGGTTTAGAGATCTTGAAGTCATCAGCAAATATTAAGCTTAAAGAGTGCGTGACACAACTGGGTAGAACATTTATAAAAAAAGCGAAAAATAAGGGCCCCAAATTGCTTCCCTGTGGTACACCAGAACTTGCCAGGAAGGGTTTAGATAAGCAATTACCGACCTTAACTTGTTGGTATCTACATTCGAGATAGGAGTTTATAAATAAAAGAGTTTTTAGAGAAAAGCCTGATTTACCCAGCTTCTCTAATAAGATGCCATGATTAACTTTATCGAAAGCCTTTACACAATCCGTCAGAATGACATCTAACTGAATCTTGCTGTTTAGTGCATCGGTTATACTATTTGCCAGTATACATAAATTTGTAACAGTGGATCTTCCAGGTAAAAATCCATGTTGTTGATGAGCAAATAAATGTTTAAAGTTTTCAAGAATATCATCATAAAGAATTGATTCAAAAATTTTTGCTAGTGAATTTATGATACTAATTGGTCTGTAATTCTCAATTTTCATTTTGTTTGTACACTTAAAGACAGGTGTAACTATAGACTCTTTCAATTTGAAAGGAAACGTATTATGTTTAAGGGCTAAATTAAAAATTGAAGTTAATTGTTTAGCAAGATATTCGGCATAACCCTTGAATAAGTATGCAGGTATATTATCCTTACCTGTTGCTTTCTTTGGTTTTAGTTTTTTTATGGCTGCCATAACAACTTCCTCAGTAATCAATGAGTATTGAAAGGTACCCTGATAGTCAAAAATTCTTTCAGCAGAAGAGCACTCGTACACTTGTCTATGTAAACGGTTTTTTTCTCTGATATTTCTTATAAGTTCTACTGAGAAATAAACTGGGTATTTACGTTTATTTGATGACTTTATTTTATTAATTTTTTTTGGAACAGCTCTGTCTATACAAGAGAACAATTTTTGATAGAAATGATCCACCTTAGCATTCACATCATTACTTTCTTGCAATTCAGACCAGTTTGTGGATGCAATGAGGTAATGCAAAAGGTCATAGTCTCCCTTAGCATAATCGTAAGCATAGGTAGGTTGTATTTTGTACCACTCTTCAGAATTACAATGTACATCAATGACAACATTTAAAGCTGGATGATATAAATCTTCACTCACAAATGGATAGTTACACTTAGTACATTCCGAAACATTCATATTACTTAAAATCAAATCTAATTTCCTATTCATACAATTTATCACAGTGTTACATTGGTTTAGGTTACAAATACTAAGAAATTCATTCATAAGTAGGCTTTTATCACAGTTATTAGCCACAAAGCTAGGGATATTAAAATCACCAAGTATTAAAATTGAAATATTCTCTGAAACTATTTCTTCCATAGCCTCAAAAAACTTTACATAACTTGTATTGGGTGGTACATAGACACATGCAATATAAAATACTTCTATTTTAAAACTTACCTTAACAACTAAGCACTCAATCTCGCTATTCGCATTAAAATCCCTAATTTCCATATTAATCTTATTAGTAACTGCTACAAGCAATCCGCCCCCTCTTGTTTTACCATTGGTTCTGTCCAATCTGGCTATATTGTATCTCTCGTCAAGCAGCTCAGCATTTTTAAAGCTATCATTCAACCATGTTTCGGTGAGGGTAACTATATCATAGTCTTCCGATAAAACACTAGTATACAGTTCGTGCACCTTGGTTCGAAGTCCACGTACATTTTGATGATATACCAATAGCTGAGATAATTTATTAGAGGCCTGATTGACTAGCCTTCTACTGGAGGGCCCACTACTACTGCTGGTGGCACCCTCTTCTTGGGGAAAAACTTTGATACAATGGCACCATTAGGCCATAAGTCTCTCTTCCACGCCTCTTTAAGATCTTCCTGCCGTATTGTAACTTTCATTGAAGTATAGTGTTCAGGGTGTCTTGATGCATGTTCTTCACATCGTACTTCAGATAATTTAGGCTCCAGAAGTTTTTGCAAATCTTCCTTCTTTGTATTGGGGGAAAGCCTAGTTACATGTAGGTGCACATATTTTGGCACAGTTTTCACCCCGTTTTGTTCATTTTTTCCTACAACAAATCTTCTGCGACGTCTTATTACTTGCTGCCAACCATTGTTTTTATCCTTATTTTTTCACCCTTATAATTGAACTGAAGTGTACATTTTCCAATATCATTTAATGGACTCTTGAATTTTACTTTAGTAGGTTTCAGTGTTGGTTCTTCTTTTAGCTTATCATACAACCTTTATTATCTGACACATCAGTGACATCACATCTCAAACTCCCCCTATCTTTGAGATATTATTATACAGGCTTCAATGTTGGCTTAATTTGTTTATATAAATTTTAATAAATTACTTTTTTTAGCTGGCTCTGAACAAAAACTTCAACATTTCTGAGACAAAATCTTTTGCGTCTGATTTCTGAAACTCCATCATCAAAAATATCGCACTGACATTTTCTGGAAAGTAGTTGTGGTACCTGCAAATTTTGTCTCATTAGGAATCAGTTTTGGAAATACAAATTTTCCCTATTAATTTTCGCCCTTTTTAATTATTTTTTTCCCTAATTTACTTCATTAATATTACTTCGCAATACAATAAAACCGGAACAGCGAAAAGCACTCATAATATACCCTTAAATCTCGAACTAAGGGTCATATTTTAACCCTATATTGCTTTCAGTAATTCATCCAATAAGGATGTCAAATGATTAAACTTTCAAAAACTTGTAGATAAAATCGAAATTGATACCCCCTTATACTGAAAAGAAAAGCCCTGTTTCTTCCAAACGATAATAAAAAAAAGGAGTCAATTCAACAAAGGGGAAACATTTTATCCCTGTTTTTAAATTAAATTTTCCGCCCTAAACATCACAATTGTCATCATCAAGAAGTTTAAAAGTGGATGGGTCAATATTTGCTCGATTTGAGAAGAGTTCTTTCTATTTTTCACTAATTTGCTTCTGATTAACATAAAATTAATTTAAATTTAAACTATGGGTGTAAAATAAACCTTTCTCTTAAATCCTAAGTTTGCCTTTTACAAATTTACTCGTAATTCTATAATAAAACTCCTTCTTGTGAGATGAAAATTTGATTTTAAAGCATCCAACATGAAAAACCCATTTCAAGCCAAACTTGCTATCGGCGAAATATTCGATAAAGTGACATGTTGCACTAATGGAAAATAGATGACTGTACATTTTGCACTTTGAGGAAATCGCTTTTTTTTACTTTAAACATGACATTTTTTTTTTCAGGCTGAAAATCTATTACTAGATTCCAATAATAATATTAAAATAGCGGATTTCGGTTTTTCAAATTACTACACAGCGGGCGGACAATTGTCCACGTGGTGCGGATCTCCACCGTATGCCGCCCCCGAAGTTTTCGAGGGTAAAAAGTATGTTGGACCTGAAATCGATATATGGGTAAGACACATTTTTATTACTTCAATACATTTTCTATAAATAAGTTATTTTTTTTATTTTAGAGTCTTGGAGTGGTACTTTACGTCCTAGTTTGCGGAGCTTTACCGTTCGATGGATGTTCACTTCAAGCCCTTCGAGATCGAGTGCTTTCGGGTCGGTTTAGAATTCCTTATTTTATGAGTCAAGGTAAGTTTTTTTTAATCAAATTTTATGAAATTACATAGCGTTTCTGGTTATATATCTATATCTATTTCTATAACGGTCAGATTTTTGGATGCCATCCAGTTATACGCATTGGAAATGTAAACTTTATTAGTTTTTGCGAAAATATTTTATTGCGTTTGGGATTTATGCCAGCGGAGGATTATTTTGATTGGGTATCTAATTTTCCAGGAAGTAGATTGTATTTAAGTGTCCACCTCGTACTATAGGAAAATTCACACAAAATAATCAACTAAGTTTTTCACTTTATCTTTGTTAGTTTGGTACAAAGTTTACAAATGAGATTCAAGAACCAGGAATAGAAAAAATATGTCTACTTGTCTTCCTCTTTTCTCTCAAATTTTCCTCGACTTCTCTGTCTCAATATTTGTTTATTTCCGGCTCTTGAATTTATGTATTTTTCCAAATAAACGAGAACAAGGAATAGAAAAAATATGTCTACTGGTATTCTTCTTTATTCTGAAATTTTCCTTTATCAAATTCTAGATTTCTCTATCTCAATATTTGTTTATTTCCGAGTCTTGAAATTATGTCTTTTTCAAATTTTTCCAATTAAACGAGATTCAAAAGCCTGGAACCCAAAACTTTCGATTTTTAACAATTCAAAAGATAAAGTTGAGTTAGAAAGTGGTCAAGAAGCTTGTTTGACTTTCTCAGATTGAGAAAATGTAGAAATCTCATACCCATCTCTATTAGTAGTAAATTATAGTTATGTGAATTGTGAATTTCTACCTTAAATTTATGAGCTATGTTTATTGGGTACTTTCAATACAAACTTCACTTAATCACAATATAAACATTGCTGTTTACGCAATAGTATTTGAAATTTAGTAAACTGGACTGTGATTGGAAAATCGCGCAAACAAATATAGAAATAGAAATGAAAATGATACCATAGGGTTGTCGAAACACACAAAAGATATTTCCACTCACCTGGTTTTTCTTATAAGCTGTGTGTATATACGGGGGTTCTCCACAACCACCAACGTATCAGCATCGACTTAAGGCACTCAAGGTCCCTTTTTAACGGCACAAGACATAGACTTTTCGAGCTTAAAACACGGAACCGGAAATTGCAACATGCATATGAAGTACCATTTATCTAGTGTGTAAATCCAAATCTTCAACAGCTATCGGCCTCGGTCGGCGCAGGGTCGTAGAAAATACACTCCTGTGTGTTTTACGCGAAATTGACATTTAAGTAATTCATTAATAAGAATGAGAAGAAACCAAATTTATAAATAATATTGCGTTAACTATTGCAATAAACTTCATATTTTGTATTTTGGCGATTCAATCAAATTTGCTAAAGTTTATTTCGTGTTTAATTTTGCAGACTGCGAATCGCTTATAAGAAAAATGTTGGTCCTCGAGCCAAACAAGCGATTCACCATTCAACAAATTAAAAAACATCGATGGATCCAAACGGGTATACTGCCTACCTTCCCACCCACCATTCCCACATCGAACACCCATCCAAACGAACAAATTCTTAGACTGATGCAAAGCCTAGGCATTGACAGCTCGAAAACTAGAGAGGTAAGAATTTGTCAATATAAAAGATATTTGCTTCAACCAACATCTGTTTTTATGTTCTAGTCAATTCGTCTAGGATGTTACGATCACCACGCAGCAATTTATTTCCTACTTCTCGATAAACTACGCAGCCAATTAGGAGGAGAAACCCAAACTGGAGTTCGTGAAGTCCAGCGCAGACGTCCATCAAACGTGGCGGAACAAGCGATGAGAAAAATAGGTAAACCACTCTACATAAATTTCTCCCAATTGAATTCCCATAATGATATTTCCAGACAAACGCAGATTATTAATTCTTATTGATGTAAACAGGGAGGGCAAGCACCTCGGAAGACTGTCGTCGACTCCTGCAACACTCTACCATCGCCCCAACGGCAAGCAACAGTAAAATCAGCATGGGCTCAGTCACAGCTTCCAGCCGACCCATCAATTCATCACCGATTCACGGCATCGACGCTGCCAGGCTTTTGGCTGCCACCAATAGCGAAGACGCTTTGAAAATTCTGAATCAGGCCGCTTCTGCTACGACTTTTAGCATGTGCACCGAAGCTACAAGGCTTATGTCCACGTTACAGATGTCTGCTATACCGTCTAGCTCAGCGGATGGTTCTGGGTATAAGGAGTACGCGAAAGGAGGGGCTAGTCAGTACCCTTTGTTGATGAATATGCATAATCCTTTTGAAAGTGTGGAGGTTAAAGGCAGTCTTGATAGATTCAGTAGGTACGTTCAGATTCAATTTATTGTTAAATCTCATTTTATTAAGAGGCAAATTATGAACTGACTGGTAAACGTCTGGTTGTTCTATGCTCTAGATAATAGAAAGTACCAGGTAGGTAATAACCGGACACTTACCAGTTGGTACATAATTTGGCCCTAAAGCCCTCACTGTTCAATAATTAACAATCTCCTCTCTCGTTGTCTTCCACGTCAACCGACTGACTGACTGATGACAGTTTTCTGATAAGGAAGCAGCGTAAACAGCTGACTCCAGTGACGGAGAAAGTCGTTGCGTCTTACAGTCGGCCACAGCTAAACTTTGTTTCACCAGGGTTCGTACTTTTGACTAAGAGTAATTTTCTGTATGCACATGTATGCCTTTTGGTTTAAAAAATGCCCCTGCCACATACACTTTGAAGTGTCATATCTTGAAAACCGCTTAAGATATCGATTTCAAAGCTGTTCTATCTTGAAGAGCATTCAATTTTGATCTGAAAATGTTAACTTTAGTATAAAATTTGAGAAATATTCATCGAGTTAAGAGTAATTTTGTGCATACACACGTATGCCTTTTTTGTTTGAAAAATGCCTCTGCCACATACACTTTGAATCCTCATATCTTGAAAACCGCTTAAGATATCGATTTCAAACCTGTTCTATCTTGAAGAGCATTCAATTTTGATCTGAAAATGTTAACTTTAGTATAAAATTTGAGAAATATTCATCGAGTTAAGAGTAATTTTGTGCATACACACGTATGCCTTTTTTGTTTGAAAAATGCCTCTGCCACATACACTTTGAATCCTTATATCTTGAAAACCGCTTAAGATATCGATTTCAAACCTGTTCTATCTTGAAGAGCATTCAATTTTGATCTGAAACTGTTTACTTTAGTATAAAATTTGAGAAATATTCATCGAGTTAAGAGTAATTTTGTGCATACACACGCATGCCTTTTTTGTTTGAAAAATGCCTCTGCCACATACACTTTGAATCCTTATATCTTGAAAACCGCTTAAGATATCGATTTCAAACCTGTTCTATCTTGAAGAGCATTCAATTTTAATCTGAAACTGTTAAGTTTAGTATAAAATTTGAGAAATATTCATCGAGTTAAGAGTGATTTTGTGCATACACACGTATGCCTTTTGGTTTGAAAAATGCCTCTGCCACATACACTTTGAAGCCTCATATCTTGAAAACCGCTTAAGATATCGATTTCAAACCTGTTCTATCTTGAAGAGCATTCAATTTTGATCTGAAAATGTTAACTTTAGTATAAAATTTGAGAAATATTCATCGGGTTAAGAGTGATTTTGTGCATACACACGTATGCCTTTTGGTTTGACAAATGCCCCTGCCACCTACACTTTGAAACCTCATATCTTGGAAACCGCATAAAATATCGATTTCAAACCTGTTCTATCTTGAAGAGCATTCAATTTTGATCTGAAAATGTTAACTTTAGTATAAAATTTGAGAAATATTCATCGAGTTAAGAGTAATTTTGTGCATACACACGTATGCCTTTTTTGTTTGAAAAATGCCTCTGCCACATACACTTTGAATCCTTATATCTTGAAAACCGCTTAAGATATCGATTTCAAACCTGTTCTATCTTGAAGAGCATTCAATTTTGATCTGAAACTGTTTACTTTAGTATAAAATTTGAGAAATATTCATCGAGTTAAATGTGATTTTGTGCATACACACGTATGCCTTTTGGTTTGAAAAATGCCTCTGCCACATACACTTTGAAGCCTCATATCTTGAAAACCGCTTAAGATATCGATTTCAAACCTATTTTATCTTGAAGAACATTCAATCTTGATCTGAAACTGTTAACTTTAGTATAAAATTTGAGAAATATTCATCGAGTTAAGCAGTGGCGCAATTTGAGGGGGCTGGGTGGGGCTTAGCCCCCCCAAACACAAGATTAGCCCCCTCAAACCCAATGGTCACAAACATGATGGTAATGACACAAATAAGCCATCCACCCTCCTAAACCCGACCGAACAGATCTGAGTCGCTTTCCAGTGACACACTTTAAGCACTGCTGAGCTGCTCTAGAGCGCCCTGAACTGTTTATAGGCATTCCAGTGCATTAGAGTTTCGCACAACTGAACTGTTCGTTTTTCCTCTCCCCTGGTCTCTCAAGCACTTACTATTTTATGGGGGCATCAAAAATACGAAGCTTAAAGTAGGATGCGTTCCAGTGACACAACAGTTGTTTGGAGCACCGCACCAGAGTATAAAGCTACGGGTGTGAAGCACCTTAAAATTCGTCACTGAAAAACATCATATACTGTCACCAAATCGACTTATATAGACCCGGAGCTTAAGCCCCCCCAAAATCAACAAGCTAGTTGCGCCCCTGGAGTTAAGCGTGATTTTGTGCATACACACGTATGCCTTTTGGTTTGAAAAATGCTCCTGCCACATACACTTTGAAGCCTCATATTTTGAAAATCGCTCAAGATATCGATTTCAAACCTGTTCTATCTTAAAGAGCATTCAATTCACAAAGTCACAACTGGTGATTTGGTGTGGTGGGGAGTTTCAAATTTGTTCCACACAGTCCTTATGAGGATAGGCTATCCTGTTGTAGTAGTGTATATTATCCTTGATTGATAGTGACTTACCGTTGTAGGCTTAAAAGCATAAATAAGTTCAACTCCTCTAGCCTCGTGTGTAGTGGCAACACTGACCAAAACACCCACAAAAAAGGGTATAAAAGTCTCAAGCAACGTGTACCACAAATAAGATAAATCATAAACAATCGCTCCCCGAAACGACAAATTAATAACTGTCAAATATGGGGCGATTTCGCCCCAGATTTTCATCTGTCTGATCCGAATTCAGTGGGTAGGGCGTTTGGTGCATTTTGACTTTGACATGTTTATTTAGACATGGGACAGAAAGAGACGGAAAGCTACCAAACCTCCACTACCCAGTTACAAACCGTAGTCAACCGCGGTATAGCATTTGACAGACCAAAACGCCTACCAAAGTTATTGTGACGGCATTATTCTCAATTCGGCAATTTCGCCTCAGTGTGGTACCCCAGTTTGGTCTGTCAAACAGGTACTAATCAATTTCGGATGGGAGAATATGCTGTCGTCATAACAACTTTGGCCTGTCAAATGCTATACCGCTATACCGCGGTTGACTGCGGTTTGTAACTGGGTAGTGGGGGTTTGGTAACTTTCTGTCTGTTTCTATCCCATCTTTAACTACACATTTCAAAGTCAGAATGTACATACCAAACGCCCTACCCACTGAATTCGGATGAGATTGTTGAGCTACGAAAATCTGGGGCGAAATCGCCTTATCGAAATCAAGATATCATCCATGTAGACCAGAGCTGTACTAAATTTTGATGATCTAGGTTGATACTCCGCTGAAATACAGCTGGAGCATTTGCTAATCCAAATGGCATTCGTGCGTATACTCATAATGCCCATCCGGCGTGTTATCCGTGTTTCATCGTTGACCTAAATTTATAACCCCATAAGAAGCATTTTTGACGTTTTGAAAAAACACTTTACCACTAATAATTCATTCTCTGTTGTTCCAGTGGCTTTAAAGGTAGCGAAATCCACATGCAGTACTCAAGTTCAACCGACGAAGGCGTAGAAACCGACTTAGAAGACCAAACACATGTAGGCACAAGACTGAGTTACACCTCGTCTAGCTCATCTAGCGGGGTAGTTAACAATTTCAACGCTTCGAAAAGCTTAAGCCAGAACCTCAGTTGCGATAGCAATTTCGAAAGCTTAGAGTATCCGCTGTCCGAGTCCAGCGAATTAGCAAGCAGTCTTCCGAGTTGCACGTCAACGGACAAAAAACCCGAACCCACCCTTACCAGCTCCAACGCGCTGTCCAACATAAAATATTCCATAGTTCCTAGATCTGTTTTGCACAAGCACAATCCCCTAGTTCACATGAGCAGTTTTAAGACTACCAGAAACATGACTAGGTCGCCTGTAGATTTCCGCGAAGGTAGACGTGCTAGTGATGGGTTAGTAGCTCAACAAGCTGCCGATCCACCAGGTAGTACTCTAGCCTTTAACTCTCAAAAATTAAACGAAGGCTATAAAGCTAAAGGGGTTTTAGATATGGGGCTGGTGCAGCGTGAAGCGCTCAGACTTCAAAGTCAATATCAAGCCAGAGAGCCTCCAGAAGAAATATCGCACAGACAAATACAGCACAATCAATACATGCAACCTAGAAGCACAAAAAAAATCAGCTTGCCAGATAATTTTAGTTATTCCAGTACTTGTGTGGAACCAGTGCAACTTCAAACCGCAATGCAACACCGACTGTTACAACAAAAACGCCAGATATTGCAAAAACAGTGCGCCATGGCCCATCAAACTGTAGAAACTCCTCATTTATCACGCAGGCATATGCTGAGACAGGCTAGTTATAAAATCGCTCAACAACAACCAGTATTGCCGCCATTACCTCCGCTTCCTTTATCGGAAAACGAAAGCAAAGATTTACTTGCTTTTCAGTCATTGGTCGAAGGATCTCAGGAATCTTGGAATTCTTTGTCTAGCAGCATGCAGACTTCTTGTCAGATTGCTGAAACTTCGAGTAGTAGTTCCAATAAGGCTTGGCAGAAACCAGTTCCGACATGGAATCAGGTTAGATTGTAGAATGTTTTGTGCTTAGTTTTATAAGCAGTGCTTTGTATATTTTGATGCTTTTTTTTTTGAGGTTGATTTAATTATTTTTATGTATTCCTCTATTATTTTGTACCCTCTTTTACTGAAAAGTATTATCAATACTAGTCTTTTCTTATTAGTTGTTGTTGTTTGTTATCACCATTTATATAATTAGCTGCTATAGTTTAACCACTTTGTAACTTTGCCTTAATAGATTCGTTTTTATTTATATTTGTTTTGCCTTTTTTTTTGTGTGTTTTTTTTTTTTTTCAAGGATGATGTTGATGATTTCATCCTCGGTCGTATTTATATAACATTTCTTTAGGATGTTTGTCCTGCAGGGTCCATCCAGTTTACCGACACCAACGAATTTGCAAGGGAACGTTTGGCCGCCCTTGCTGCCTTTACGAGAAAGTCCTATTTTAGAGCTGACTGAACAGATGGAATCCATGTAACTCTGTCAAATCTACATTGTTTTTCTATTTCTAGATTATATTATGTTTTGGCATTATTGGATTTTTAGTAGAAGAACTATGCTCCTATATACCTACATATTGATTAATAAGATTTGTTCCTGCAAAATTATATTGAATTTCTAATGAAAATTTTCTACAGATTTCATTGGAAGAGTTGTGAGATTAATATTAAAATATCAATATTGGCAGCAATTGGAACAAATGGTAGATATTGCTAGTTTAGGACAAAGACAAATTCTTTTTTTGCTGGAACAAACCAACTACTCCTAACACAAACTTCACCTAATCACAATGTAGACCATGACAATAAAGTTTTATATTTTGGCAATTTGATACTGTATTTAAATTTGCTGCAGATTCAAATAAAGTATTTTCTTGACTCAAACCTATATATGCATCAAAAATACTACAGGGGCATCGAAACATCAACGCAGAATATACATATTTTGTCGTTTTAAAAATAAGATTTCGAAAATATTTGGTCACGTTTTAAGTGACAACTCCGTAGTCAATTTTAACCATGTATAAGCTAAAATCAAAAAGTATATATATTCGTATATAAGACATTCCAGGCGAAGAATTAAAATTAGTTTGTTCAGTAATATTGTGTGTGTGGATCATTACAGTAACTCTGTAGATTTTAGAGTTAAAAATCGTATGTCTTCGAAAATCGTCCTTGTTGCCTACAGACAATAAGAAAACCGCATTTAATTTCTATAATGGACAAATATCAAAAATTTGTAATAATGTAGATAATTTTCTAGGCTTAAATCATTTAAAAAAATTTCAGAATGGTCTTTTGAGGTTTGCTCATAAAATAACTGCAAATATTTTTTGATTCCGTAACTTCTGAAAGGGCTTTTCTAGAGTGATAAATATATTGTAAATTTAGTATAAGCAATATTGAAAAAACTACCCGCTTAAAACAACATTGTAGATCCAATAATTGAGTCAATATAATAATTAGGCAAACGATAATCAATGTTAGAGTTACTGTAAAAACAGTTTAGGAGTGATATATAGAGGTATTATTTAGAACTGCAATTTTTACCTGCTGTCCAAAACCTAAATTTGTTCAGCAAGGAAAAATTCTACTATAGCTGGTGTTCATTTTGGAACTAAACCACCAATCCATCTCTGTTGAAATTTGCAGAGAAACTTTCTGAGACATATTTCGTTTCAGAAATTTCAAATTCTCTGTTATAATCAGCATCACTCGCTTTTTCCTGAGTATTTTTAAGATAAGGAGAATAAGAAACTAACAGAGAGAAATGATGATTGTTCTTTTCTCAAGGGATATTTTTCCACAGTTATTACTTTACAAATCTTAAATTATTCAAACAATAACAAAATATTTATTGAAGTTCCTTGGTTTCCTAAATGAACACCCATGGATATGTATTCAGATTTGGACATATAGCTAGATATTTACTGGGCAAATGTGCAAGCTAAGGATTTTAGTACTAAGATGATGATAATAATATTATAACTTGAGTATAAGCTAAAGGAAATTATTTAAGTTGTCTTATTTATTATAATAGGAACGTATACGTTTGGAAAATAATGGAAGATATTTTTTTTTGCTATACAGGCACCTATATTTGGATGCTCAAAGGAATTGTTTGAAAAATCATTAATATTCAAACGTATTGATAACATATCATTCATTTCAAATATCACAAAAAGGAAGAATGGAAATGTGAATGCCGAAAAGTGTTGTAGTTACTTGTTATAAATAGCGCTTTTTAAAGGAAGTGTGTGTTTTTTAGACAGCAATAATATATTTATACATTTTTTAAAGGGTATATTGATAACACATTTTGTTTGATATTGCTTTTGTTATTGTTTATATTAAACATATTTAAAATATCCTTATAGGGTTTTTTATTTCTGTTATGTATCCAGACTCCCAGACTTCAAAATGATACAGGTTTGATAGCTGAAAAATGTTAATAATATTGGAAGGACACTTAAATTATTATGGAGAACATGAAACTAACGTTTTTACTTGAGTATGACTTGAAAAAACGGCGACATCCACATTGCGAGGCCCTTTTTATGTAGGGTGGCCATATCAACTTGGCTTGGGACTAAGAAAATCTTAAAAGATATATTTTTGTGTGTTCCCAACATATTTTAATATTTTGAGTGGTCGTACTAAGCAGTACCAGTACTATTATTATTATAATGTTCTCACTAAAATTATTGCAATTTTGATTGGAATCTTTAAGCCTCTGTCTCACAAAAATCACAAAATAGTCAAGGGCGTTATGTTGATTGGTGCAAACCAGTTTCCTGACTGTTTTCAACCAATGAAAGGTTTGTGATTTTTGTAAAAACAGATTTTTTATACTTTTGTAACTGATTTCCAGTAAAAAGAAAGTTTGTACCAGTAATATTTTGAGACATTAATGGGCTTTTTTGTTGTTTTATAAGGTCCTAACATCACACAAAGTCTTAATAAAGACGTCTTTTCAGGTCTGCACTACATCTGAACCTTTGAAAACTAAAAAAAGATGTCCATAGGATCGTTCCTAAGGATTGTAAATTTGTGTCAAAAATTTTTCAAATCTAAGATTCAAAGTCTTCAGTATTCAGCGTATTGTTTCTAACAACAAGACAATCCTTTTAATCATCAAAAGTCTTTCAAGTTTTCCCTAAATTATTTGAAGACTTTAGAGATTTGGGTTTCTTCAAAGTTCCAGTTTTCAGCCTCTTTATCTATAGTCTTAGAATTTTTATTTGTTCCTGATGGAATGTCGTTTGAACTGTGTTTCTAATCAACATTTATTCATAATTTTACGTTTTGTGTTATGTTTTAAATGAGAGATTTCACACAATTAACGGATTTTCAAATTTATAGGCAATTTCCTAATATTATGTAAATGTTTTTTGAGAGAAATTAGAATGAAAACATTTGAGGAAAATTGATAGAAAAATTATTGTTTTTCTATTATAGGCTTTTAAGTTTTCTCTAAAGGCTTCAAAATAGTATATTTAACGTTGACATCAGTTTTTAAGAAAATCGAGTTTGAAGTTTTAGCTTTCAAGCTCAATATCTTGGAAACCCCAATAGTTATGGGAACCAGTTTTGTACGGCCTTATAGAGAATTTAATGCTCTTTCCAATGATATATGGTTGTTATCAATGTGCTAAAATATAATCGAAGATATAAGCAATTCTTCATGAGCGTGTCAAAATTTCTAGAGCAAAAAATGAGATTTCTTGTTGGAATTTCCTTTTCTCATCGAAATTTCCAAATGAAATTGATGTTAGAGTTGTTTCTGACTAATTTGGACCCGCTCTAGGATTTCTAAAGTCAAATTTTCAATTTTTTGCACTTTTTTCTGAGGGTATCCCATTTGGATTTTTATTTGGAAATCTTCAATAGTAAATATTTCAGTAACCAAAAGTGGTACCGGAACAAAATTTTCAGAAATTGTAGCTCTTGAGAAGGGCTTTCAGATGGTATTATGCTAAAATCGCTAGCATTTATAGTTTTTGAAAAAATCGAGTTTAAAGTTTTGGACAAAATTTTAACTAAGTTTCGACTTCGAGGCTCAATATCTTAGAAACTTCACCAGCTAAAAAAACCAAATTCACACGGACTAATAGAGAATTTAATGCTCTTCCCAATGATGTATAGTAATTAATAATTTGCTTAAAAATAATCGAAGATATAGGCAATTATTCATGAGCGTATCAAGATTTCAAAAAGTGTCCAGAGCCAAAAATAAGATTTCCTTTTGGATTTTTTTGTCTCATTGAAATTTCCAAATGTTATTGATGTTAGAGTTGTTTCTGACTAATTTGGACTCGCTATAGCGATTTCTGTAGTCGAAAATGAGAAAAACTCAAAAATAAAAATTTTCAATTTTTTGCACTTTTCCCCTTTGGATTTTCATTTCCAAATCTTCAAACCTGAATATCTTGTTAACCAATAGCGGTACAAAAATTTCAGGAATTGTAGCCCTTGATAGGAGCTAAAAGATGGTATTTAGTTGAAATCGCTAGCATTTACAGTTTTTGAGAAAATCAAGTTTGAAGTTTTAGACAAAATCTCGACTAAATTTTAAATCTGAAGCTTAATATCTTGGAAAGACTTACAAGCTACAAAAACCAATTTTGCACGGGTTTATAGAGAATTTAATACTCTTTCCAATGATATATAGTAATTACTAATTTGCTCAAAAATAATCGAAGATATAAGCAATTATTCATGAGCGTGTCAAGATTTGTAATTGAGAAACTTCAGGGTTATTCTAATAAGAACAATATTAGGACTCAATTAAGAACCAGAAACCTTTTAGTACTCTTTTGAACCAACTTCGAACACTTCTTGGAACTTCAATAGGGGTCTAAAATACTTATAAATCAGTTAGAACAATTTAGAAATCACTGAAAAACTTCTAGAATGCTCCAGAGCTCTTCAAGCTAAGTTAGAACACTTTAGAACTTCAATAAGCCATTTAGAACACTTTACAGCGACATTTTAAACAATTTAAAAACCTCAGAATTATTTTAGAGCCTGGAATAGACAAAAATTGTCTGTTTCAAAATACGAGGAATTATCGATTTTTTTCTAACAAGTTAACCATTTTTAGATTATTGTGTCGTATGCCCATATAGTACTATTGGATTTTTGGTAAGTGGTACCAACAATTTTTTTTTTTTAAATTGAATTTTGAATGAACATCCTTTGAATCTGGAACAATCCAGAACTTTTTTATTTAATTTTTTTTTTTAATAGGGATTTATTTGATTCTCTATAACTGCGGACAATTAGTGAATTATACAGGGTGGCCAACAAAAATTAGTTTTCCAGAAAATCTTTCGCATTTATTTTGATTTCATGATTTTTTTTTTGACTTTGGCTTTTCAAATGTGTGTTAATGAAGGAAGTATATGGATGAGTTGTGTGAAATGAATGATCCCGGGATGTAGACAGTTGTGAGATAGAATGCTGGGTTCTGGATATGTATAGGTACTGTTGGGACTAGAATACTGTATGCTGGGTGTAGGTACTGTGGTAAATAGAATGCTGGAGTGTCCCAAAAAAATTGATTTTTGTACAGTTTTCAATTGAAGCTACTTTAAATCCATAGCTACAAAAATAAGTCCTAATTATTTCAAATTTCAATAGCCACTACCACTAGTAGCAACCCAACTAACCCAAATTAACTCTAACCTGTGTTTGATTGTTACTATGGTAGTCCACTAAACATTTTCAGCTATTTTCTAAATAATACAAACATTTACAGATAGGTAGCTGTATCCAGGTGTAGCTATATTTTTCAATTTTTTTGAGACACTCATGGGGGTATTGGGTAGGCACTCTTGAAAAGCCAGTCAATAAACGATTTATGAGAATCCGGTCAATAGTTAATTAGTAGGCCTAATGATAGTCCAAGAGCCAAATGGAAAAATCTGGACATTTTTTTCTCAAGATTTGTTTGTAAAAGCTGAAACTTTATGTTCATTAATTTGTAATTAGAGCTGACTTTCAAATGCGGGATTATGGTATGTGTCAGTGAAAATAAAATTGAAAATATGCACCAAATTTACCTATCATTTGGTTTGTAATTGGATTCAGGGTACAGGGAAATATATGCACCAAATTTGTCTGTCATTTGGTATTTGGTAATTAGATACAGGGTGAGTTCACCATAATAAATAATTGAATTTTGGTATTGAAGAGTTTGATGATTTATAATACACTTTCCTATGTTACCTACTTATCAACTTTAATTTGTAATTTTGTTTGAACAATTTTCCTGCCGCTGTGTTATTTTTTTAGGCCCCCCTGTAAGCAGGGTTGTTCCTGGGGAATTTTCGTGTGTGCCTGCAGCGACACTCAAATAGTGCCAAATAGTGCCACTTGAGAAAAAGTGAGAAGAATTGTTTTTTTGATTTTATACTCATTTCTTTTTATTACATGATTAAAAGGGGAAAGATATAATATATTTCATATATTAAATTCATTATAATGACAATTGACAGTTACGTCACTGTCACTAGTCACACTCACATCGACAGATCCGATCCAAGCTGTAACCGAATTTTCGCGACGAATGTACAGGATGGTCCATATTGGACACTTTCTTATGGAAACACCCTTTATTTTTAGAGATAGAAAAAAATTAACCCCCCACTCTGAGGCTCAAATTTCATGAAATTTTGATTGGTGCAAACCGCATTTTGATATCTTCAACCGTTTAGCCGCTAGAGGGCGATTCTCGATTTTGAGCAATACTCTTAAACCTTCATAACTTTTTTGTTTATGAAAATTATTGATTTCCGTGAAGACTTTCTAGAAGCACTTTTTTAAGAAGAATTCAGTGATGTTCTCAATTTTTTTCTAATTAACTCGGATTTCGAGATATTGACCAAAATCCAATTTTTTTCAATAGAACACCCTAGATATTAATAGCTTATTGGAAAGCTCTGCTTTTGCTGATTTCAATGATGTAAAGTTCGATAGGTTTATCCCTAATAGTATTCGAGAAAAAAAAAATTCTGTTTTTATCATAAGAGACAATGTGTTAGAAAGAGACCTCTCTCGTTTTTCTTACAGATATAAAGTCCTTTTCCAACACATTGTGTCTTATGACAAAAATCGAAATAATTTATTTCTCGGGAACCGTTGGAGATAAACCTATCCAATTTTATATCATTGAAATCAGCAAAAGCAGAGCTTTTCAATGAGCTATTAATATATTGGATGTCCTATTGAAAAAAATCGGATTTTGGTCAATATCTCGGAATCAGAGCCAAATAGAAAAAAGCTGAGAGCGTCACTGAATTCCACTTAAAAAAGTGCTTCCAGAAAGTCTTTACAGAAATGTTATGAAGGTTTCATAGTATT